ACTCTTAATAACACTATAAAACGCTTGACAACACTATAAAACTCTTGATAACACTATAAAACGCTTGGCAACACTATAAAACTCTTGATAACACTATAAAACGCTTGACAACACCACAGTACCCTGTACATAAGGAGTTTCAATCAGTAAAAAGAAAATATAATACGTTTAAAAAGTCTTATGAAATTTCCTCATAATGTTTGTTTACAGTGTGTGTGTGTGTGTGTGTGTGTGTGTGTGTGTGTGTGTGTGTGTGTGTGTGTGTGTGTGTGTGTGTGTGCGTTTGCGTGCGTGTGTGTGTGTGTGAGTGTGTGTGTCCTTCCTTATCAGTTGGGTGCAGAAAGTTAAGCTGCGGTAAAGACTTGGACATTATAAACCAGTAGTGTGTTTTTCTTCACCGCTCTAAGGACCACATTCACTGAAGGTCTTACGACAAATACTCGTCCTAACTAAAGATACAAAGAGATACGTAATTAACTTCACCTGAGCTACAAACATAAGATAATTCCTAAGATTTTACCTTAATTAGATAATGAAAGTTTAAGTAGGAGACAAAATTAAATGCAAATAAACTTTCATAATATATTTTCATTTTTTTTTAACTGGTATGGAAATGTATCTAAGTTAGGATAAAGTCTAAGTAATATTTTAATTATATTTTCAAAGTTTTATGTAGTTTGGTTATGAGGAATATTAATGAAAGGTAATGCAGGAGTTAGTATTCTTCTTATCGCTGGACACCGAGTTTCACCCAACACGTAAGGCCACTTTTCATTATATTACGTATCTTAAAAGTTTACTCAGGCTGTGTGTTTAACAGTGTAGCTAGAGATAGTGTCAGGGTGTTACCATTATCTCTTAAGTTTATATGTCTACACAGTCTAGTTCACACAGATTCAAATTCAATGCTTCGTAAATAATAAAAAAAAAATCCCTAAATGACAATGTGAGAATGTATTTAATCGGTTCATATAATCTACACCACAAACATTCTCAAGGAACTCTACGTATTTTTTGGCTTTATTTTTTCACCTAACGAGATATCTATCTGTCCCACTGAGCTACGAGGCTGTTAAAGACTCATAAAGGTTCATGTGATACCGTTACCCCGAAGTCTATCCGAATCACTAAAGCTTCAACACAAAAATAGATCCCAAAACGTTTACAGGACAAAATTTATTCATAACTCCAGACCAGAGAGAGAGAGAGAGAGAGAGAGAGAGAGAGAGAGAGAGAGAGAGAGAGAGAGAGAGAGAGAGAGAGAGAGAGAGAGAGAGAGAGAGAGAGAGAGAGAGTAAAGATGGTCACCAAAACAGCTCCGAAATTTGTACCAAGAGCTAAACGTGTGATCATTCTTACTCCGCCTGGTGGGGAGAGTAACACACGGGAAGGTAAGAATCATCTCGACCTGTAAGACTTCTGAAAACAAGTTACAGGAATCCTCGATAAATTTATATTATTACGGGTCTCGAAAAATTTGGATCTGTGCCCGTAAAGTGATACACACACACACACACACACACACACACACACACACACACACACACACACACACACACACACACACACTACAAAACCCTTCATAACGTCTTTCAACAAAACTTTATTAAAAAAAAAAAATCCCTCGACATTAAAAAAAAAAAATATCTTAAAATATTTCCCTAACTTGTTAATATAATGTTTTGAAACTTTTAATGAATTCTAGCCACACTTCCTCACTCCGTCGCCCAGATTCCACAAACTCTGGAATTTGTGAGGCGTCGCGGTAAATTATCCCGGAAGGTAAACGGCTCTTCAGAAAGGCTGCCAGGCTCTGAGAATATTGTTAGCGGTGTTGTATAAGTTTTGGCGACGCGAAAATCAGCCAAATTGAATTCTCTCTAATTGGCTGCTCATAGATTCCTTTTTCCCAAACTATTTCTCACAAACTTTTCAATTATTGTGATAGGTCGTGTGTGTGTGTGTGTGTGTGTGTACTACAGTATATATTTTTTAGCTAGACAGGTAGGTAGACAGACACAGATAAACAGGGAGGTAGACAGATAGACAGGTAGAAGGAGAGACAGAAACATGAACAAGAGAGACACTTCAACCAAGGACACTGAAACACAACTTAAATGTTCAAGTGAAGACGACCATGACCCATCCTTCATTAGTACGACCATGACCTGGCCTTCATTAGTACGACCATGACCCGGCCTTCATTAGTACGACCATGACCTGGCCTTCATTAGTACGACCATGACCCATCCTTCATTATACGACTAGATGACCCATCCTTCATTAGTACGATCCACACCCATCCCCTTCATTAGTACGACCATGACCTGGCTCTTCATTAGTACGACTACGACCTGGCCTTCATTAGTACGACCATGACCTGGCTCTTCATTAGTACGACTGATGACCCATCCTTCATTAGTACGACTGATGACCCATCCTTATTAGTACGACCATGACCCGGCCTTCATTAGGTACGAGACCTCATGACCCGGCCTTCATTAGTACGGACTCGATGACCTGGCCTTCACAGTACGACCATGACCCATCCTTCATTAGTACGACCACACCCATCCTTCATTATACGACCATGACCCGGCCTTTCATTAGTACGAGATCACATGACCCGCCCCTCATTAGTATTTGATTCAATGACCTGGCCTTCATTAGTATTTATTTAGACCATGACCATTCCTTCATTAGTACGACCGAACACGACCTACGTTTATTGGCCCCTAAGCACTAGTTAGATAGAGATGAAGTTGTTACTGAATAAATGGTTTTAATTTGGTCGAAGAAAGTTAATCTTTAGAGAGAGAGAGAGAGAGAGAGAGAGAGACTGAGTGTATGAAGGAGTAGCCAAGACTGAGTGTATGAAGGAGTAGCCAAGACTGAGTGTATGAAGGAGTAGTCAAGACTGAGTGTATGAAGGAGTAGCCAAGACTGAGTGTATGGAGGAGTAGCCAAGACTGAGTGTATGGAGGAGTAGCCAAGACTGAGTGTATGAAGGAGTAGCCAAGACTGAGTGTATGAAGGAGTAGCCAAGACTGAGTGTATGAAGGAGTAGACAAGACTGAGTGTATGAAGGAGTAGTCAAGACTGAGTGTATGAAGGAGTAGCCAAGACTGAGTGTATGAAGGAGTAGCCAAGACTGAGTGTATGGAGGAGTAGCCAAGACTGAGTGTATGAAGGAGTAGCCAAGACTGAGTGTATGAAGGAGTAGCCAAGACTGAGTGTATGAAGGAGTAGCCAAGACTGAGTGTATGAAGGAGTAGCCAAGACTGAGTGTATGGAGGAGTAGCCAAGACTGAGTGTATGAAGGAGTAGCCAAGACTGAGTGTATGAAGGAGTAAGGACCTATTTAACACACTACAGATCTAGGTAACACATATACAATAAGTTCACTACTGTTATTCAGTAAAACCAGAAGACAAACAAACTGCAATAAACGTATGACTCTCAACACTGGGACACATACCCTGTTAAGATAGCAATTCCTCGTAAGTTATAGGTTAGGTTAGGTTAGGTTAGGTTAGGTTATAGCCAGTCTACAGTATACACACTGTCTCTCTTATGTAAAGTAAAACCATTATAGAATCTTCCCTCGGTCGAACTGACGAGTTGTGAAAGAAAAATTGACAACAAAAGTCACAGCTTAAAAATGGAACGAGAAAAATTGTGAGGGAAATGGTTCATCCCTGACAAAGTTTACCAGCTGAGGGCAGCTTTGTCCCTGTGTGTGGGTCACCAGCCAGCCCTTCCTTTCTCCTCACGTCGGGACTTATTCACTCAACTTTGTATCTGGCGGATATAGAAGAGAGTGAAAAGGAGGAAGAGGATTTGCGAGGTGTGGGTGTCTTGAGGAGGCATTAGCGGAGGGAGGTGTTGCTACGTGTCGCGTGGGAGGGAGGGACGGAGGGGGGGGGGGGGGGAGGAAGGAAGGAAGGGAGGGAGGGAACGAAATGTGTGGGTGTCCGGATCGCAAAGTTAGGTAGTGAGTATAGACATGAGGAGCAGGGATGGGAGCGTCTTGAGCTGAATACATCAAGGAGGTGTGTGATCTATTGAGGAGAGGGTAGTGTTGGGGAAGGGGTGTCGAGGCGTGGGTGTAGGGGTGGGGGTGTCGAGGCGGGGTGTTGGGGAGGGGTGTCGAGGCGTGTGGTGTGTGGCGTGGGGGTGGGGGTGTCGAGGCGTGGGGTGGGTGCGGGCGGGTGTAGGGGAGGGGTGTCGAGGCGTGGGTGTTGGGGAGGGGGTATCGAGGCGTGGGTGTGGGTGGGTTGAGTGGGGTGTCGAGGCGTGGGGTGTTGGGGAGGTGTGTGAGGCGTGGGTGTTGGGGAGGGGGTGTCGAGGCGTGGGTGTTGGGGTGGGGGGTGCCGAGGCGTGGGGTGTAGGGGAGGGGTGTCGAGGCGTGGGGTGTAGGGGGAGGGGTGTCGAGGCGTGGGTGTTGGGGAGGGGGTACGAGGCGTGGGGTGTTGGGAGGGGTGTTGAGGCGTGCAGGGAGGGTGTGGGGTGGGGAGGGGGTCGAGGCGGGTATGGGTGGGGGTGGGTGTGGGGGGGGGTGTCGAGGTGTGGGTGTTGGGGTGGGGGGTGTCGAGGCGTGGGTGTAGGGGAGGGGGTATCGAGGCGTGGGTGTTGGGGTGGGGGTGTCGAGGCGTGGGTGTTAGGGTGGGGGTGTCGAGGCGTGGGTGTTAGTGTTGGTAATGGGACACTAAGAGGAGGGGAGGGAAGGAGTGTGGTTGTATGAAGGTCAAGCGGGAGGTTCTGGGAAGGTCAAGCATCGTGGGAGTTACACCTCGACCCAATTAGTGTAATATAACGCCGGGAGTCAGTTCATCCAAGGTTGTTGTTATTCGTTTTTTTTCCTCTAACATTTTCTTCGACCCGGGACACCTTTGGGTAAATATGTCTCAGTTAACTTCCCTGAAACTATAACTTACCTGTGGCCAACCTAATTACAGGTAATATACATACAAGAGGTTATACAGACAAGTGCTACTCACCAGAGTGGAGCAGCACCAGCAGCAGCAGCAGCAGCAGGCGGGGAACTCCCCGACCTGCTCTCCTCCAGGGAACTTCCTCCATCAGTGAAGAGAAGCTCGACCCTCTTGAGACTCTGGAGACTCTAAGGTAATTAAACCGTAAATGCCTCAAGCAGCTGTGGCTCCCTAGCTCTGTTAACTTCCTTGTTTAGTTGTGATTCTTGTCTCTGGTGTGTGTGTGGAGACGAGCTTAAGTCTGCGGGACCTGGAACAACGAGGAGGAGGAACACGTTAACTCCACTCTGTCTCTAAACCTAAAACAAGAAATAGTTTTACTCACAACAATAGGTTAATATATACAGTTAAAACAGTTATATACACTACGGGAGTAATGGAGGGCAAGAGGTAACTACCCACACACACACAGAGGCCGCCAACAGCCCCCACGGCTCTAATCAACCCACCATGCTCACCACCAGTAGTATTACACACTATCTCACGAACCTGACATCCCTGTTCTCTCTCTCTCTCTCTCTCCCGTTCCCTCTCTACCCTCCCTTCTCTCTCCCTCTTCCCTCCCCTCCCATAGCCTGGTTCAGAGGTCATATAATCCATTTATAAATCCATCTGGTCCTCTTTTTACGTTGTTTGGGGGTATCAAGGGACTAAGCCACACGAGCCCTCCACATCACACGTCATACAGTATACACACCGACCATAGAGGCGATAATTCTTCGTATTAGACCACATAAAATGAGATCTGTGAGGCATTGTGTTAATTAAACTAACAGCCATACTTTTAACATTTACTTTTAACGCCTCTCTTATATATCTATACATATATACATCTATACATATATACATCTATACATATATACATCTATACATATATTGTAAACCTCAACCCGCTTCTCTTTTTTTTATTTTTTTATTAATTAAAAAAAATATCCTCCATTTTTTAAGAGTCTTATTTCCAGGTTACGGTAAAGTTATAGTTAAATTTTTCTCTTAATGCTTTATTATATTTGCATTTTAATATCAATTTTTAAAATGATAAAAAAACCTCACCTGAATATTTTATTTTTATTATTCATTTGGAAACTTTAGCCGTAAAACATTACAGTTGAATTTAAATGAAAAAAATCTTAATACATACAGTGAATCCTCTATTTAAGGGACAATAGAGGGGAAGTCCGTTATATCGGAGATCCGTTATATGTAAAAACCCAGGTAACGAATTATATAGAGATGGGCGTCCGTTATAAGGAGGTTTATGGAGATAGAGGTCCGTTATATAGAGGTTTATGGAGATCGATGTCCGTTATAAGGAGGTTTATGGAGATAGCTGTCCGTTATATAGAGATTTATGGAGATAGATGTCCGTTATAAGGAGGTTTGTGGAGATAGATGTCCGTTATATAGAGGTTTATGGAGATAGATGTCCGTTATAAGGAGGTTTATGGAGATAGAGGTCCGTTATATAGAGGTTTATGGAGATAGAGGTCCGTTATATAGAGGTTTCACTGTAATATAAATTTCCTGCCAATTTCCACAAAGTATCGTTCAGTCCCTTAATACGAACACACAATCACGTGTTTTCAATAGTTAACGACTAATACCCAGTTATACAGTCACTCAAAACCTTAATGTACAGTCACTCATTGTACAGTCACTCAGAACCTTAATGTACAGTCAGTCATTGTACTGTCACTCAGAACCTTAATGTACAGTCACTCATTGTACTGTCACTCAAAACCTTAATGTACAGTCACTCATTGTACAGTCACTCAGAACCTTAATGTACAGTCACTCATTGTACTGTCACTCAAAATCTTAATGTACAGTCACTCATTGTACTGTCACTCAAAATCTTAATGTACAGTCAGTCATTGTACTGTCACTCAGAACCTTAATGTACAGTCACTCAATGTACAGTCAGTCAAAACCTTAATATACAGTCAGTCAAAACCTTAATATACAGTCACTCAAAACCATAACATACAGTCAGTCAAAACCATAACATACAGTCAGTCAAAACCTTAATATACAGTCAGTCAAAACCTTAATATACAGTCAGTCAAAACCATAACATACAGTCAGTCAAAACCTTAATATACAGTCAGTCAAAACCTTAATATACAGTCAGTCAAAACCTTAATATACAGTCAGTCAAAACCTTAATATACAGTCAGTCAAAACCTTAACATACAGTCAGTCAAAACCTTAATATACAGTCAGTCAAAACCTTAATATACAGTCAGTCAAAACCTTAATATACAGTCAGTCAAAACCATAACATACAGTCAGTCAAAACCATAACATACAGTCAGTCAAAACCTTAATATACAGTCAGTCAAAAAACAATATATAAAATTGTGTTGAAAAAATATGACACAATGAACGAAGGATTCTGACGACCCTATGAGACAACAGGAGTCACAGTGTTCATTATGGAATTCATGGATCACCCAGAGTACAGATAGTTTTTTTTGAAGTGTCTTATGTCGATTTATCCTCATTAATTAGCACACAGAGAAGGTATGTTGGTCAAGTGGAGTTTCTGAGCAATTTTAGCGCCATCTTGTCATACAGTATACAGCTAATACATTCTTGATACATCTTGATATACACTCATACACTCATAATACATCAACATACTCTCCTATACTCATAATTCACCCTCTTAAACACATAATACACCCTCATACACCCTCATACACCCATAATACACCCTCATACACCCCCATACACCCATAATACACCCTCATACACCCCCATACACCCATAATACACCCTCATACACCCCCATACACCCATAATACACCCTCATACACCCCCATACACCCATAATACACCCTCATACACCGCCATACACCCTCATACGTAAACACTATCCAAACTGCATAATATTTACCTGAATACAGAGAACAACACTCCACTGCTGACACCCTCACTACACCCCACGGTCTGTATGTGTCGCTGTGTAGGACTGTCTCTCTTTACGAGTTCCTCTCAACTTCCCAAAGCCAATAGAAACACCGGGAACCTTACCCTAACGACGCTAACGAGCAGTAGGGTAGTTTATTTATGTAGTTGGGTCGTTTGTGGTTGGTCAGGCAGGAAGAGCCATCAGAGAAAATGAGACAGGGAGTGAGAGAGAGGTAGAAATAAAGACATAGAGATAAAGTGAGAGATAGAGATAGTGAGGCAGGTAGAGAGACAGAAAAAGAGAGAGAGAGTAACGTAGTAAAAGAGGAAAAAAAGAGTAGAAAGAGAAAACAAAAGATAAAGAAAGCGAGAAAGAGAGATAGTCAGAGATAAAGAAAGCGAGAAAGAGAGATAGTCAAATACCCAAAAAGACATAGACAGATAGACAGATAGACCAAAACTTCATATTTACCCCGAAAGAGCAATATTCTAGACTCTTGTTATGATATTCCTCGCCATTCATTAATAACAGCAAATAATATTAAGAATGTTGCTTCTATTTTGGCTAAACGATGTGTCCGTACGAGGAAAAGTATTAGAAATAAAAATGGGAAAATATTACTGCTGGCGGGAGGAGATTTTTGCGTCACGATGAATTGATGAGATTTTTTTTTTTGTATGTGATCCGTATGTTACATCTGTGTCTAATTTGGGATAAAAAAATAAATAAAAAATATGGACGACTAAAAAACCGATGCCAACGTAATATCGTCAAGGTTGGCATGAGACGCGTTTTACTGGTGGCCGGGAATAAAGTCACAGGAAAAAAAGTCACAGAAAAAAAGTCACAATTTTGGCTAGGGAAAAAAAGTCACAGGAAAAAAAGTCACAGTTAATTTATGGTGGCCGGTAATAAAGGTTAGGTTAGGTTAGGTTACCATCAGTTCTGCATATTCCTTTACTGAAACTGATTGACATATTAACCTTACAAAATGTGAGAATTCGATAGTTACTTTTCTTTTTTTCCTGTGACTTTTTTTCCTGTGACTTTTTTCCTGTGACTTTTTTTCCTGTGACTTTTTTACCTGTGACTTTTTTCCCTGTGACTTTTTTACCTGGATTCGTTTTACTAAAGAGTGAAAAAAACGAGTCTCCGTTGGCTAGCCCGCGTGATGTAAACAAACTCAACTTAATCAATGTTACAAAAGACCCACGGACAAGACGATTAAACCATTAATTCTTCAATCAGAATTAATTAAACTTAACCTAAACTAAACATTATAAATTACCCGAAATTAGATTAATGTTGAATAAAGGAGAAAAATTATGAAAAATTGGATGAGTTCAGAATAAGTAATAAAAATAAAAGGATTAAACAAATGAAGAAAATTAATTTGTTTGGAAAAGAAATGAATAATTAAGAAACATAAATAAATAAAAATATATAAAAATTAATGAGATATTTAAACGACTATTCTACACAATTCTGTAATGGATGATTTAACTTAGCTACATAATTTGAAACAGTAATACATGATAAAAGTAGTTTGTCCTTGTTCACAGGTATGATGATGTAATTAAAGAACTGTAAAACTTAATTAGTGTTTTTGTATTACAGGTAAAAGTTTATATAATGCGAACTGTTTGTGATGTGGATTTTTTTTTCTTCATAAGATGTATATTATGAAAACTCTAAACACACACACACACACACACACACACACACACACACACACACACACACACACACACATACATACACATACACCACTTCCACTCATCCACCAAAATTCAATGACAGACAGACAGACTCGAGAAGGAAACGTAGGAAGCATCTCACTCAGCTTTAAGTGTGAATCAATATAGAGACAAGTTCTACCTTGGAATCTCTCTCAGTGGTGATGGTGACCAGACAGAATAATAGATAGATAGATAGATAGATAGATAGATAGATAGATATAAATATATAGTGTGTGTGTGTGTGTGTGTCGACAAAGTTGATATTATTCCCTCTGTATTACTTTTATGTCATATTAAAAGGTGACAGGTGCTCCCCAAAATGGTGGTATACTCTCTCTCTCTCTCTCTCTCTCTCTCTCTCTCTCTCCTCTCTCTCTCTCTCCCCCCTCTCTCTCCTCTCTCTCTCTCTCTCTCCCCCCTCTCTCTCTCTCTCTCTCTCTCTCTCTCTCTCTCTCTCTCTCTCTCTCTCTCTCTCTCTCTCTCGAGGTAAAGTTCCGATAGTTTTAACAACATTTGACTATTAAAGTGAGAGAGAGAGAGAGAGTGTGTGTGTGTGTGTGTGTGTGAATGGGTGTGTGAGGGTGTCTGTATGTAGGTGTGTAAATGTGTGCATGAGTGTGTGTATATATAGGTGTGTGAGCTTGTGTACATGTGTGTGTGACAGGCAAATAGTAAGTTGTAGTACTATGTGTACATGTTTATGTGTATGTAGAATAGTGAGTGTGGAAATTAATGTGAAAGAAGAGGAGTGTGATTGTAAAAGTATCAGTATGGCAGAGTGTGCAAGTGAAAGTGTGAGAAAGTGTGAAATAGAGTGTGTGTATACCAGAGTGTAAGTGAAAGTGTGAGAAAGTGTGAAATAGTGTGTGTGTATACCAGAATGTGTAAGTGAACGACTAAGAAAGTGTGAAATAGGGTGTGTGTACCAGTGTGTGTAAGTGACAGTGTGAGAAAGTGTGAAATAGTGTGTATGTATACCAGTGTGTGTAAGTAAGTGTGAGAAAGTGTGAAATAGTGTGTGTGTACAGTATACCAGTGTGTGCAAGTGAAAGTGTGAGAAAGTGTGAAATAGTGTGTGTGTATACCAGAGTGTGTAAGTGAAAGTGTGAGAGAGTGTGAAATAGAGTGTGTGTATACCAGAGTGTGTAAGTGAAAGTGTGAGAGAGTGTGAAATAGAGTGTGTGTATACCAGAGTGTGTAAGTGAAAGTGTGAGAGAGTGTGAAATAGAGTGTGTGTATACCAGAGTGTGTAAGTGAAAGTGTGAGAAAAATAGTGTGTGTATACCAGAGTGTGTAAGTGAAAGTGTGAGAGTGTGTGTAGTGTGTGTATAGGTGTGTAAGTGAAAGTGTGAAAAGTGTGAAATAGTGTGTGTGTATACCAGAGTGTGTGTGAAAGTGTGTGAGAGTGTGAAATAGTGTGTGTTTCTACCAGAGTGTGTGTAAGTGAAAGTGTGAGAAAGTGTGTGAAATAGTGTGTGTATACCAGAGTGTGTGTAAGTGTGAAATAAGTGTGAGTGTGTGTGTGGGGCGAAAGTGTGAAATAGTGTGTGTGTATACCAGAGTGTATACCAGAGTGTGTGTAGAGTGAAAGTGTGTGTAGAAAGTGTGGAAATAGTGTGTGTGTATACCAGAGTGTGTAAGGAAAGTGTGAGAGGTGTAAGAAATAGTGTGTGTGTATACCAGAGTGTGTAAGTGAAAGTGTGAGAGCAGTGTGGAAATAGTGTGTGTGTATACCAGGAGTGTGTAAAAGTGAAAGTGTGAGAAAGTGTGAAATAGTGTGTGTGTGTATTCAGTGTGTGTGTTCAGAGTGTGTAAGGAAAGCGCAAGAAAGTGTGAAATAGTGTGTGTATACAGTGTAACAGAGGGAGAGCAGAAAATAGGTATACTGCAGGTGAGTGTGGAGAAAGTGAAATAGTGTGTGGTGTGTGTGTAGATACCAGAGTGTGTAAGGAAAGCGTGAGAAAGTGTGAAATAGTGTGTGTATACAAAGTGTGTGTCAGTGAGTGTGAGAAAGTGTGAAATAATGTGTGTATGCAGAGTGTGTAAGTGAGTGTGAGTGTGAAATAGTGTGTGTTTGTGTAGACCCAGAGTGTGTAAGTGGAAGTGTGAAAGTGTGAAATAGTGTGTGTGTTTGTGTGTATACCAGAGTGTGTAAGTGAGTGTGAGAAAGTGTGTGGTGTGTGTGTGTGTAGACCAGAGGTGTAGGTGAAAGTGTGAGAAAGTGAAATAGTGTGTGTGTGTGTATACCTGTGTGTGTAAGTGAAAGTATGAGAAAGTGTAGTGTGTGTGTATACCAGAGTGTGTAAGTGAAAGTGTGACCAGAGTGTGTAAGTGAAAGTGTGAAAGTGTGAGAAATAGTGTGTGTGTGTATACCAGTGTGTGTGTATACAGAGTGTGTGAAATAGTGTGAAATAGTGTGTGTATACAAGTGTGTGTCAGTGAGTGTGAAAGTGTGAAATAGTGTGCTGTGTAGACCAGAGTGTGTAAGTGGAAGTGTGAAAAGTGTGAAATAGTGTGTGTTTGTGTGTATACCTGTGTGTGTGTAAGTGAAAGTATGAAAAGTGTGAAATAGTGTGTGTGTATACCAGAGTGTGTAAGTGAAAGTGTGAGAGAGTGTGAAATAGTGTGTGTGTATACCAGAGTGTGTAAGTGAAAGTGTGAGAAAGTGTGAAATAGTGTGTGTGTATACCGGAGTGTGTAAGTGAAAGTGTGAGAAAGTGTGAAATAGTGTGTGTGTATACCGGAGTGTGTAAGTGAAAGTGTGAGAAAGTGTGAAATAGTGTGTGTGTATACCAGAGTGTGTAAGTGAAAGTGTGAGAGAGTGTGAAATAGTGTGTGTGTATACCAGAGTGTGTAAGTGAAAGTGTGAGAAAGTGTGAAATAGTGTGTGTGTATACCGGAGTGTGTAAGTGAAAGTGTGAGAAAGTGTGAAATAGTGTGTGTGTATACCGGAGTGTGTAAGTGAAAGTGTGAGAAAGTGTGAAATAGTGTGTGTGTATACCAGAGTGTGTAAGTGAAAGTGTGAGAGAGTGTGAAATAGTGTGTGTGTATACCAGAGTGTGTAAGTGAAAGTGTGAGAAAGTGTGAAATAGTGTGTGTGTATACCGGAGTGTGTAAGTGAAAGTGTGAGAAAGTGTGAAATAGTGTGTGTGTATACCGGAGTGTGTAAGTGAAAGTGTGAGAAAGTGTGAAATAGTGTGTGTGTATACCAGAGTGTGTAAGTGAAAGTGTGAGAGAGTGTGAAATAGTGTGTGTGTATACCAGAGTGTGTAAGTGAAAGTGTGAGAAAGTGTGAAATAGTGTGTGTGTATACCGGAGTGTGTAAGTGAAAGTGTGAGAAAGTGTGAAATAGTGTGTGTGTATACCGGAGTGTGTAAGTGAAAGTGTGAGAAAGTGTGAAATAGTGTGTGTGTATACCAGAGTGTGTAAGTGAAAGTGTGAGAGAGTGTGAAATAGTGTGTGTGTATACCAGAGTGTGTAAGTGAAAGTGTGAGAAAGTGTGAAATAGTGTGTGTGTATACCAGAGTGTGTAAGTGAAAGTGTGAGAAAGTGTAAAATAATGTGTGTATACCAGAGTGTGTAAGTGAAAGTGTGATAGAGTGTGAAATAGTGTGTGTGTATACCAGAGTGTGTAAGTGAAAGTGTGAGAAAGTGTGAAATAATGTGTGTGTATACCAGAGTGTGTAAGTGAAAGTGCGAGAAAGTGTGAAATAATGTGTGTATACCAGAGTGTGTAAGTGAAAGTGTGAGAATGTGAAAGTAAGTGTGCGAAAGTCCTATATACACCAATACTTTCCGCTGTTAACTAATCAACGATACACTCAGACTTTTTATATTAAACACTTATTACGCACTCACATATGCACTTAATTGTAGACACACTTACCTTCATAAATGCACTAATATATACAGGGATAAGTGTATTCATAAATACAAATATTCACAGCTATAGACAGACAAATGCACTGTTGAATTCACAGGTAAATGCAGACAGATAGATAGATAGATAGATAGATAGATAGATAGATAGATAGATAGATAGATAGATAGATAGATAGATAGATAGGTAGATAGATAGATACGGGAATTAAAATGATAGAGAGACACAGAACTATGCAGTCAAAGAAAAGTCTATTTCTTTGTCACTGTGAGCGAAGGAATTTTGAACATAGGATTATTTTTTTTTTATTAATTATTACTGCCATTGATATATATTTTTTTCAATAATTTTGTAACTTTCTAACAGATCATAGACCAAGACAGCACGGTGAGTATAATTAAATACTTGTCTCAGTGGTCTGTATTACCGTTTGTCTATGATGTAAACAAAACAAAGGCACTACCCGAGTCCGAACGCGAGGCAGCATTGGCTTTGGTTTATGGCTTTCAACTACGCCGCTCATTTTCTTAGCTAGGATAAGATCAACGTTACTATTTACCTTAAAATTTCATTTTCTGATGTTATATTTCGATTAACTTTCTCAAATACGACCACGGTGATATGTCTGTTAAGTCAAATATTACACAAAATCGAGACGCGAACGGACGAATCAGGTTACGCGCACAGAAGAACCACGTGGAGCAGCGGCAGGCGGAGTATACAAACAGTAATTGTTGTTGAACCTTCAGTGACTGTTGGAGTTATTGACGTGTTGAAGTTAGTCATCATCCAACTGGTTCTCATCAATACAGTCTGAAACGCGTTACTGAAACTGAAACCCAACGCTGAAACTGTTGCTTGTTACAGTCAATCGAAACTCGATACTGAAATTGAAATCTGTTACAGGAAATGAAACTCGCAAGAAAGATTGAGAACCAATACAAAAAGCTAAAATTCAGAATACACACAACGACGTCCAGTGTTGGTCAAGTAGCAGCTAATGTACTGTACCTAGAACCTGCCGTCACTCCTAGCCAACAAGACTTGATGCTATAGTACCTCCTCGACTACCATGAAGACAGTCATCGTACTCAAGGGAATAGGTCGTTGTAGACAAAGCTTCAGTCATAGTTATCTTGGGGTTAAGTCATCGTAATAAGGGGTTAAGTCATCGTAATAAGGGGTTAAGTCATCGTAATAAGGGGTTAAGTCATCGTGCTGGAGAAGTTAATGTAGAAGCGTCAAAGACAATAATTGATATCAGAAGATCTTTGTCAGAGTTAACAAGAGGAACACAAGTTACTTCCTGAGTTACAAGCGACATAAAAAACAGGGTACAAGGAAGGCACTACACCCAGGAAACATAGTGGTGTAGTGGGTGTCAGCACTCACCAACTGGTTTAGCAGAGGCACCTGTAGGAGTCGTCGACAAAGGAGCTAACAGGAGCGTCTTGGTGACTGTCAGTGGTGGTGAGACAGGTAGTGTGTTGAGGAGCTTGTTCACCGCACTGCGTCAGCCACGGCGGTTCGGGCACTACTGACAATGTAGCCGGCACCTTTCCTCCCTCACTCACTCGCCTTCCTCTTCTCTCTTTCCCCCATCCACCTTCCTCCTCCTCCTCCTCTCTCTCTCTCTTTCCCCCCTCCTTCCGACTCTTCCTCCCTCCCTCCCACGCTGGTGGGTCGTCATTCACATACGCGGCGGTGAGGTCACCTCCACCTCACTCCATGTTCCCTCCCTCGCCTCTCTTTCCCGCTCTCTTTCTCTTCCGCTCGCTCACCCACGCCACCGCTGCGTCATGGAGTCAGGGGTGTGGTAGGTGTGGGAAGTGTAGGAGGGGCCACGGCCTCAGGTGTGGGCGGGCTCAACACACACACACATATACGCAGACAAATACACGTGAGTAAAATGGTTTCCAACACAGCTGAAGGTCAGAGCCACATGACCGACCAGACCAGGTGAACCGACGGTCCAAATGAATGGAGGAGTATTGTGACTTCCTTGTTGGTGGTGTGACCAGGAGGAACAGTTGTGTTGTGATAGTTTGGGGGAGTTTATTTGTTGAACAAAGTATGTACCAATTAGTTTATTTAGTCAGTTTCTCTTTTAGAGAGAGAGAGAGAGAAAGGGAGAGAGAGAGAGAGAGAGAGAGAGAGAGAGAGAGAGAGAGAGAGAGAGAGAGAGAGAGAGAGAGAGAGAGAGAGAGAGAGAGAGAGAGAGAGAGAGTTCTCATCAGTGTGAAGACATACATCTTTATTTCATAATCAGATATGTGGAACAACATCGACTCTGATACAAAGAAGTAAAGATCCACACCAGCGCCATCAAGCATAACAAAATATGACATTTCTTTTCATTTGAAAAAAATTATATATAAAATAATTTACAGACAATGAAAAGATTAACTATAAATTTATAGGATGGCGATTAAAGATATATGAAATCAAGACAATAGAACAACAAAAGAATAATTCAACTTAAAACTTAAATACAATCAAGAGAAATGTTATTAACAATCCTTAACAAAAAACAAACCAAGAAAAGACCACTTACCTGTTGATGGGTGAGAAGCCGTCTATTGTAGAGGGACTCGACCATGACAAGGTCCGTCCTGGAGAGTGCACATGACAGTATCCTAAAAGTTGGGTTAGGTTAGGTTAGGTTCTTTGATGACAGAGTGACACAACTATATGTCCGCAAATCCTGTGCTGTAACCAATTAATAGTGGAGACCCAGCAGGTACAGGTGGCCCCAGGTAGAGAGTGTCACCCCCTGAAGGCCTCTCTGAACAGGTGGCACCGTCGGAATCACTTTATGAATGAATCCGTAACATGAGGAGAGTTGTTGCTGGCACTCCTCTCTCTCCCTACACACCAACACCCTCCCTTCTCTCCACACCGAGATAGAGATAGATAGAGACAGAGACAGAGAGATATAGAGACACACAAAGAGACAGAGACAGAAAGACAAGGAGACAAGGACAGACAGAGAGACAGAGACTCATTATCCCACCTCCTCCTACCTGTGAGATGAAGCAGTAGGTAGTCAACAGGTAAGCTTGGTGCCCTCACTAACCACCACAACACAGGCAGGAAGCACACATTGACCACAAGATCAACACAACACGACGCGGCGGGTCACTGTAAACAACCTCTCCAGTATGTCACCTCATAATGTTGTTATTCTACCTGTTTACATGACCTCTGAGACGTAAGTAATTTGTATAAAAAGGTCTCGTAAAACAACAGCCTAACCTAACCTAACCTACCGGGAAATAATTGTGTGTCGAGATTATTTGATTAATTACAATATATTCAACACAGGAATCATTACAAGACATTATATTATGATGATATTATGATGTGAGAGGAAGTGTTTGGCTGAGGACTGCTGAGGTCACCTTAGCCTAACTCTCTCATGCCTCACTGTCATGCCTCACTGTCATGCCTCACTGTCTGTTCATGCCCCACTAAATGTCACGCATCACTAACTGTTATGCCTTACTGTCATGCCTCACTGTCATGCCTCACTAACTGCTATACCCCAGTGTCATGCCTCAGTAGCTCTATCATGCCTCACTAACTGCTATGTCCCATTGTCATACCTCACTAACTGTCATGCCTCACTATCATGCCTCACTAACTGCTATGCCCCACTGTCATGCCTCAGTAGCTCTATCATGCCTCACTAACTGTCATGCGTCACTAACTGTCATGCCTCACTGTCATGTCTCACTAAATGCTATGCCCCACTGTCATGTCTCATTGTCATACCTCACTAACTGCTATGCCCCACTGTCATGCCTCACTAACTGTCATGCCTCACTGTCATGTTTCACTGTCATGCCTCACTAACTGTCATACCTCGTTATCTAACTCACTCACTCACTTGTGCTCGTCCAGTAAGTCAATCAGAGCCGCTAGCGTCGAGGTCAGGAGACTCTTGTGTCCGTGAAGAATTGTGAAGCGTGACACGTGAGTGGAGGACAGAGAGAGAATCGCCTGGTTATTGATTGCCCGTGTTGGCGTTGTCTATTATGGCACGGAATAAAAGAAAAAAACCACGTTGTTGATAGTTCGTGCTGATATCTGTATTAAACATTATTACAATAAACAGGAATACAATTTTCTCCATAATCCAAAACTATTTCTTCTCATATCAGACAACGCCGCACACGTGACACCCTCCTCGCCTTACCTTCTGCACCGAGTAATTATTTGTCTTTATACCTCACACAATGGGCACCAATATACACCTGGGTCTTATCGGTTTATATTTATAACGTCTTGATGAATGGATTATTTTGGGATTACCTGGATTTATGTATACCTGTATCTATGTATACCTGTATCTATGTATACCTGTATCTATGTATACCTGTATCTATGTATACTTGAATCTATGTATACCTGTATCTATGTACAGTAGTATGAACGGTTATTACGTTACAAACTTAAGCAGTATATATAAACCCCTACGTCTAAATTTACGTGGCCTTAATATCAGTGGAGATTAAACTGTTCTCTCAATATGTAATAAGTTAGGTTAGTTTAGGTTAGGTTAGGTTGGGTTAGGTTGGGATTGGGTTAAGTTAGGTTAAGTTAGGTTAGGTTAGGTTGGGTTAGAAGTTAGGTTAGGTTAGGTTAGGTTAGGTTGGGTTAGGTTGGGTTAGGTTAGTTTAAATATCACAGTAGGATATTACTTAAATCATTCTTAAGACAGATACAACCCCATGTTTGACCCTGAGGAGGTGAGATTAGGGCCACGAGTACAGGTCATCGTCCTCAAGGGGTCAAAGGTCATACATAGGAAGTGATTGAGATTTTGACATTTATATATTTAAGTATATTTTTCTTCATAATGTATAGTGTGTTTTCAGGTGAGGTTATGAGAGGATATGTATGGGTATGTATGATCGTGTATGATCGTGTATGATCGTGTATGGGTATGTATGATCGTGTATGGTATATGATCGTGTATGGTATGTATGATCGTATGATCGTGTATGGGTATGTATGATCGTGTATGGGTATGTATGATCGTGTATGATCGTGTAAATGTATGAAAAACCCACATGACCACGACTGTTTATACAACACCCCGACCCAAAAATATAAATAAACAAACAAATAAATAATTATATATAATAAATCAATAAATACATAAATAGATAAATAAATAAATAAATGGAGAGGAAACAAGGAAGATAGACAATAAGAAAGGAATAAAATTTAACATCAGTTTCTAGTTGACGAGAAACACCTACAAACTGACGTCATTGAAGGGGAACATCGGAGGTAATCTATGCCTTACACCGATACAAACATTCCTTTAATTATATAGTAATGGAACCCTGATATAATAGATGTTTAGGGAGGAAATTAAATAAATATTAATCCCTTAATTACGATGACTTAACCCCTTTGAGTATGATGACTTAACCCCCTTGATTACGATGACTTAACCCCTTTGATTACGATGACTTAACCCCTTTGAGTATGATGACTTAACCCCTTTGAGTATGATGACTTAACCCCTTTGAGCATGATGAACTTAACCCCCTTTGATTACGATGACTTAACCCCTTTGAGCATGATGACTTAACCCCCTTGATTACGATGACTTAACCCCTTTGATTACGATGACTTAACCCCCTTGAGTATGATGACTTAACCCCTTTGAGTATGATGTCTTAACCCCCTTGATTACGATGACTTAACCCCTTTGAGCATGATGACTTAACCCCCTTTGATTACGATGACTTAACCCCTTTGAGTATGATGACTTAACCCCCTTGAGTATGATGACTTAAACCCCTTGATTACGATGACTTAACCCCCTTGAGTATGATGACTTAAACCAATGTACTCAACTGTTCATGGTAAGTTTTATAATTTATGAACCAATGTCACAAGAGACCAATAGAAAACAATATCTCAAACGACCAAAAAAATACAAAAATAAATCAACAACAACATCCTAGGCTTAGTATTGCGTTACAAAATGGTCGTCTGATCAAAATATTATGACGAAAAACGAATATAAAAAAACCCCAAAGTCTTCTCTGATATATTTCTAGTATAGGTTTCGTCGTCAAAGAAAGGTCAAATTCGTGACGTTAGTGTGCTCTCTTTCCCAGCCCATAACAATATGATCTACCAAAACACGAACTGTTTACGAGTTCCGCGAATGTTGACAAACTGTGAGGGTGTTTGTTTACATACTCAAGTCGGGAGGCGGAGATTGTGCAGGCGAGCAGCGGTGTTGACGTCTTCCACCCTTAGTGGTTAGGAGGAGTTATTACGTGTTGTGGCTGGTGTAGGTGAAGGGGGGCAAGGAAGGGCGAAGAGAGGGAGAGAAAGGAGGAGCAAGAGGGATAGGGAGGGAGAGAAAGGAGGAGCAAGAGGGATAGGGAGGGAGAGAAAGGAGGAGCAAGAGGGATAGGGAGGGAGAGAAAGGAGGAGCAAGAGGGATGAGGAGGGAGAAAGAGGAGCAAGGGATAGGGAGGGAGAGAAAGGAGGAGCAAGAG